TGTTGTGAATACGTACACATATGGCATGTCAAAAATACTTACACATGTGGCATGTTGTGATTACATGTCTCATGTTGTGATTACGTACACATATGGGATATTGTGAATACATACACTTATGGCACTTGCTCATACACCCATATGTGTATATAAGTACGTACGTACAGAAATAATCGACTCCCCCCCCCCCCCCCCACCCCCCCACCAGCTTTCTGTCTTCTCCACTATACAGAAACTGAACATTTCCTGTAGGTAAAGAAAAAAAAAATACAAGAGACGCGATCTAGTGTTTGTTTGCAGCAGCCGTAAGGGACACTATCCATTGTTTGTGTGCTGTCACATAATAATGTTCCGTAATATTTAATGTTACTGTACTTCAGGTTGGGGTTAGAGTTATTGTTAGAGTTAGCCCTTACTCTAATCCTAACCTCAAATAGCATTAAATAATATTATTATATCAACTTACCCGAACAATTGATTACGTCCCTTCAGCTTGGCATTTAAAGAATTACTAGCTTACACGTAGATTGCGTTCCTGATGAGGGTCTTTGTTTGAAGTTTTGCTCACACATTTTCTTCAATTTTACTGACCCCCTCACTTCATCTGTGAAAAAATATCCGTCCAAAGTTGAGTTAGTCGACTTCACACCACCACAGACACAAACAACAAACTGAAAATCGCAGTTACAAAGCCGTTATTAGCGATAACACAAGCGGACTTGACTTGACTTCATTTTAACTTTCCTCCCCCCCCCCCCCATTCCTTTTCTCTCTCGCACACACATACATACACACACACGCTCGACCACGTTCAACGTGCTGTTAGCTAGTTGAAGCTGCCAGCAGTCTCCGGTTGTATTTGGGGTGTGGTTTATTCGCGCCACTTTCATGGCTACAGTTCTGGTATTTGCGCCAGCTCTCTGGTTTAGTCCGTCTTCACTCCTGTGTCCGAGTGTAATTCTCTTGCCTTTTTTTTCGTCGCCTTTCGTTCGCTTGAAATAAATTATCTATATCTGCAGTACTGTCTCTTGTATGAACTTCACTGTATTTTGTATTTGTAATTCACTTAGCGGCCCGTGTAGCTTTGATTCCACCAGTGTCTCTCTTGGCAAGGAGTTTTTTCTGGAAGCGTTGTATCTGGGACAGTCTTTCAGGATATGATCTGTTGTCTCAGGTACCAGTCCCCAGGTACACATGGCTGATTCGCCAAACTTAAACTGTATGTACATGTGTCTGCGAAATCGATTATGCCCTGTCTAAGGCGTAGGATAATGACTTTCTCTGGTCTGTCCATTGTGTGGTAATCGTCTTGTGCCTTTTTCGTTGGCTTTTTGATAGATTTGATTTTTCTCTTCTTCTGTTGATAAAAGACTGGTGCGTCAGGTTGTTCTTCAGTTGCACCTTCCTTAGCTAGTTTATCAGCTCTTTCATTTCCAGGACATCCACAGTGGGATGGTATTCAATGCATAACTACCTTACGCAGGTTTCCTAGTTCAGAGAGTAGTGTTCATATACCTGGTAATTTTTCAAACTAAGGTGCCTGAAGTACCGCTTTTGCATCTGCCAGGAATACCACTGGTTGTGAAATTTACTCCGTGTATAGCAGTTTCTCTGCCGCTATATTGATGGCTCGAACTTTTGCATCAAAGTTGTGACAGTGCTTTCCCGGTGGTATTTTGGCTGCATCCCTGGTATTATTATTATTATTATGGTGCTCATTTTACACTCCTGCTCCTTCGTTTCTAATTGCATTTTGTGCTGACCCATCTATGTAAACACGAACCCAAAGATTATGTGGGTATTCATCATCAAGTAGACGGAGGGTGGCTGTTTTACGCTGCACACTGTTTTGTTCTTCCTTGTCAAATACTCCTTTCACTTCTGTCTTGAGTGTATTTTGGAAACTTATACTCCTCTATCCAGGGGGTCCGTTCACGAACTTCGTTTAAGGAACTGTCAGTTGCAGTCAGATCAGTGGTTTGTCTGCAGAGTCGTTTGGCCTGGTGGATGAAACTGCTCTTTAGTCACCCCATAGCTAGAAACTTTCCTGTTTGTATAAGCATCCTGGTGTCTCTGCATTCACTGCCTGTTGTAACTCTTGAGTGCTTGATTCTGCATTTTGTCTAATTCTTGTAGTGTGGTTTTTGACGCCAAACTCCGTGTTGTTGATCCGCATTCAATATATGGTTGAACACTTTGTTGATACACTTTCCTAAGTATTTTCCGCTAGCACATCACGTGGTTCCGCTTAGTTTTCTCAGAATGGATACCTTCATACTGGCTTTTGTTGCTGCCTTGATGATGTGTTTTCTCTATGTTAACCTATCATCAGACGTGACTCCGAGGTATATGGGCTTCCTATCCTCTCTTAGAGATACTCAATTTATGTGGATGACACCTGGTTTTTGTTTTGGAGAGGGAGTGAATCGGGTGACATATACACCATTTATCAGGCAATGCGGCCATTGCATCTATGGCTATTTATAGCAGTCTAGTGGCCACTGTTACATATTAAGTTGTAACCGTAGTACCAAGTCATCAGCATACATTGCAGCTTTAATTCCATTGGGGTAATTCATAAACTAGGTCATTGATATAAACTAAAAAGAGTGTGGGGGACAGGACACATCCTTGAGGGACACCATGGTGCAGCAAAACTCTTAGTCTTGAGTCCGTCTATCAGGGCTCTTTTGCTATACAAGCATCCTGCCCTTGTATTTCTGATATTTTCCTTTTGGTTCACGCTCCTTCTAATTTGGCCAGGCGTTTCTCATAAGAGGCCAAGCTTTCCACATAACCTCCTTTTGTACCACCAGATATCATTAAATTTTTTTTTCAAGAATTGCTGAAAACAGTTTTTTGGTCTTGATGGGTCCGAAATAGTGAAAAAATTTCACATGTGACCATAGCGGTCTTAGGGTTTTATCTTCCTGTAATATGGGTGGGTTAGGCAGGTCGCGTTGATGTGTATGGAATGATAGGTGACGTCTCACAATGATTGTAGCCGTTATTTGTCATACTGCGGTCCGGTTGTGGAGGTTTGGGTTGGTGGATGGGCTCTGTCTGGTCTACGTAAGTGTAGATCCTCGGACCAACAAACTAAAGCGCTTTTTGTTGAATGTTGTTCAGGGTTATGCAAATAGATCATGTCAACTATGAACCGATCACATTTATAACCTATCGCCTCCTCCAAATCACTGGACGCACACGCGTGAGCTAATCGGCCTTTCATCGAATCTGGCAGACAAGTTGTCATCGACGAGTGCGCTCAATCAACCAAAAAAGCTGGCGTCACCCAAGAATCGATACCTCATTTGTCCCTCATTGGCGCCAACAGGTGGGCGAATATATACACGTTTTTAATAACACGCAGCCTTTGATCTCATATCTGCCGCGCATCAAACGATTCGCTGAAACCACGACTACTCAAGTTCAACCTGTGTATAAATACAGAATACAAAACGAATCAATGGCTACCCGTACAAAGCAAACACTGGATAAAGTCGGTACATAATTCCTTTGATTTCATTCCGATTAAGATAATGATTTTTACCAATAACAAAAGACATCAAAGGGCATGTATTAAGGCTAATGATCGGAGGGCAGACAACCGCGTGTGTTGATAATTATTTGGAAATCAAGAGTGACTGCACTTGCTGCATGTCAATCGAGGGTTGTTTACAGATTCTTTCAGTTTCCTGAGGCCTTTATAGATATATATCTCAGGCCTTTATAGATAGTTACTTCAGGCCTTTATAGATATATATATCTCAGGCCTTTATAGATAGATAATTCAGGCCTTCATAGATATATCTCAGGCCTTCATAGATATATATCTCAGGCCTTCATAGATATATCTCAGGCCTTCATAGATATATATCTCAGGCCTTCATAGATATATCTCAGGCCTTCATAGATAGTTACTTCAGGCCTTCATAGATATATCTCAGGCCTTCATAGATATATATCTCAGGCCTTCATAGATAGTTACTTCAGGCCTTCATAGATATATATCTCAGGCCTTCATAGATATATATCTCAGGCCTTCATAGAAAGATATCTCAGGCCTTCATAGATAGTTACTTCAGGCCTTCATAGATATATCTCAGGCCTTCATAGAAAGATATCTCAGGTCTTCATAGAACAATATATCAGGCCTTCATAGATAGTTACTTCAGGCCTTCATAGAACAATATATCAGGCCTTCATAGAAAGATATCTCAGGCCTTCATAGATAGATAGAGAGATAGAAAGAGAGAGAGAGAGAGAGAGAGAGAGTGAGAGAGAAATAGATAGATAGATAGATAGATAGACAGACAGACAGACAGACAGACAGACAGACAGACAGACAGACAGACAGACAGACAGACAGACAGACAGACAGACAGACAGACAGACAGACAGACAGACAGACAGACAGACAGATAGATAGATAGATAGATAGATAGATAGATAGATAGATAGATAGATAGATAGATAGATAGATAGATAGATAGATAGATAGATAGATAGATAGATAGATAGATAGATAGATACCCCATGCCTTCATAGATAGTAGAAAGAGACCTAAGGCCTTCATAAAAAATAGGTGTCTCAGGTTTTCATAGGCACCAGAGGCCTTCATAAATAGATACCTCAGACTTTCATAAAGACACCTGATGCCTTCATAGACACATCTCTCAGGCCTTCATAGATAGAGACACCTGAGGCCTTCGTAGATAAATAGATATCTCACACCTTCATAGATATAAGGTAGGGGTGACGGAACCTTAGGCATCGATACACCCCCCTCCTCCTTTCCCGCCTCAACATTGTCTGAAGGGGATGCAGGTGCGGAAAAAAAAGGGGAGGGGAGTAGACAGAATCTCTTCATTCCAAGCTGCAGTGCATCTTCATGAGAAGACACAAGACGGTTATGGGGTCACCTGTAGTCCAGTATGTTAGCTGGTCTTGTATGCAACAAGGTTAAAGAACAGCATTGACATTTTCTTCCATTTCAGGCCAAAAGAGCGATACAGAGGGGGGCAACAGCTGTTGTCTTTGACATTACGGATAATCCAGTAGCTGCGGATTTTGTAAGTATTATAGTAAGACTGTTTCATTGTTTATTTTTTCAAGTGTGGGTTTCAGGGTCGTTTTTTTTTTTGGGGGGGGGGGGGGTGGGTTGGGGGGGGGGGGGGTGGGGTTAAAGAACCCCTCCCTACCTCCCCCCCCCCCACCCCCAGAGGAATGTTGTACAGTGTGACTAGTTAGGGGTGTTGCCCTTTGAGGTGATCGTGAATCTGCCTGAGAGATGACACAGATAAGCCAGTTTTGTAAACCGGATAAACAAGAAAGAAAAAGTTCTTGAGCAACCAGAACTTCCCGCTGGAGTTTACAACTGGTGGTCGCAAAGAAAACGATGTTTCATTTTCAGCTGGGGGGAAGAGAGAAAGAAGACGACGAGAAGGAGAAGAACGGCAATAAGGATATTACTTTGCACAAGTGGTTACGGGCAGAAAGACCATTGAGAAAACTGTTCAACAGCAGGTAATTTCGAGATCCCTGTAATAATTTTTGGGCGGTTGAACATGGTTTCTGATATTTGCTTTTCTTGACTCCTGTTCTACGAGTCACCGAGAGAAGAAAAAAGGAGAGGACGGGGTGGGAGGGTTAATCTTTATACATTATTCTGTAACTTAGATGCTGCCAAATTCTTATTTTACATGTTATATCCCAGTTGTCACTTTGCTGGTCTGTTTTCTGGTTGTCACTTTGCTGGTATGTTTCCTGTTTGTCACTTTGCTGATCTGTTTAATGGTTGTCTTTTTGCTGGTCTGTTTAATGGTTGTCACTTTGCTGGTCTGTTTCACACTTGTCACTTTGCTGGTCTGTTTCCAGGTTGTCACTTTTCTGGTCGGTTTCCTGGTTGTCACTTTGCTGGTCGGTTTCCTGGTTGTCACTTTGCTGGTCGGTTTCCTGGTTGTCACTTTGCTGGTCGGTTTTCTGGTTGTCACTTTGCTGGTCGGTTTTCTGGTTGTCACTTTGCTGGTCTGTTTCCAGGTTGTCACTTTGCTGGACTGTTTCACACTTGTCACTAAGCTGGTCTGTTTCACACTTGTCACTTTGCTGGTCGGTTTCCTGGTTGTCACTTTGCTTATATGTTTCCTGGTTGTCACTTTGCTGGTCTGTTTCCTGGTTGTCACTTTGCTGGTCGGTTTCACACTTGTCACTTTCTTTGCTGGTCTGTTTCCTGCTTGTCACTTTGCTTGTCGGTTTCACACTTGTTACTTTCTTTGCTGGTCTGTTTCCTGGTTGACACTTTGCTGGTCTCTTTCATGGTTGTCACTTTGCTGGTATGTTTCCTGTTTGTCACTTTGCTGGTCTGTTTAATGGTTGTCTTTTTGCTGGTCTGTTTCCTTGTTGTCACTTTGCTGGTCTGTTTCACACTTGTCACTTTGCTGGTCTGTTTCCTAGTGTCACTTTGCTGATCAGTTTAATGGTTGTTACTTTGCTGATTTGTTTCCAGGTTGTCACTTTACTGGTCTGTTTCACACTTGTCACTTTGCTGGTGGGTTTCGGGTTAATCTTTACACATTATTCTGTAACTTAGATGTTGCCGAATTCTTATTTTACATGTTATGTCCCAGTTGCCACTTTGCTGGTCTTTTTCCTAGTTGTCACTTTGCTGATCTGTTTAATGGTTGTCACTTTGCTTGTCTGTTTCCAGGTAGTCACTTTACTGGTCTGTTTCACACATGTCACTTTGCTGGTCTGTTTAATGGTTGTCACTTTGCTTGTCTGTTTCCAGGTAGTCACTTTACTGGTCTGTTTCACACATGTCACTTTGCTGATCTGTTTAATGGTTGTCACTTTGCTTGTCTGTTTCCAGGTAGTCACTTTACTGGTCTGTTTCACACATGTCACTTTGCTGGTCTGTTTCCAGGTTGTCTCTTTGCTTGTCGGTTTCCTGGTTGTCACTTTGCTGGTCTGTTTCTTAGTTGTAACTTTGCTGGTATGTTTCCTGTTTGTCACTTTGCTGATCTGTTTAAGGGGTCACTACACGGCATTTTTTCCAATTTATGACAAAAATATCACTTTTTCAATGTGTTCGTGTTTGTAAAGTTCGGCATTCGTAGAATAGATGACACACAAAATTTATGTCATTTTTAAACAATTTAGCATTGAAAAGTTAATACTAACGACACCACCTCGTGCACTTTTTTAAGAGAAAAAAAAAGTTAAAAAGTCAGTTTTCTCTAATCTCTGTATTTCAGTTTGCTGTGTGTGTGAAATCCTAAAATCTATAGTAATATAAAGAGTAGAAACATGAAATTTCGTATGCATACTCCGTAAACAATATTATAGGGACTGATCTATCCAAAAGTAGATTTTAGAAAGATTTTGTTTTTTAAAATTTGATTATTGTCCGATGATGCTAGATTTTTTTTTGACTTTTTCAATAAACCTACTTTTTAAAGTTCTACGAAAAATATTTAAAAACATGTTTAAAGTAAATAAACTAGACCTGTACCTGTAAATAGGATAAAAAGTCATGAATTCATCACTTATGTTTGTTTTGAAAATTTTAGGATCCTAAGTACATGTTGTTTTTTTTCACAAGATGGCGGCTATTGCCATGACAACTATGAATTTTTTAACGCTTAAAGTATACAAATGTAATAACTTGTATCCCTACAAATGACCATTATAAAATAACTGCTCTAACTCTGTAAATAAAAATAAAAAAAATTTTTTTTTGCTGTAGTGACCCCTTAATGGTTGTCACTTTGCTGGTCTGTTTCCAGGTTGTCACTTTACTGGTCTGTTTCACACTTGTCACTTTGCTGGTCGGTTTCCTAGTTGTCACTTTGCTGGTCGGTTTCCAGGTTGTCACTTTGCTAGTCGGTTTTCTGGTTGTCACTTTGCTGGTCGGTTTCGTAGTTGTCACTTTGCTGGTCTGTTTCCTGGTTGTCACTTTGCTGGTCTGTTTCCAGGTTGTCACTATACTGGTCTGTTGCACACTTGTCACTCTGCTGGTCTGTTTCACACTTGTCACTTTGCTGGTCTGTTTTCTGGTTGTCACTTTGCTGATATGTTTCCTGGTTGTCACTTTGCTGGTCGGTTTCACACTTTTTACTTTCTTTGTTGGTCTGTTTCACACTTGTTTCTTTCTTTGCAGGTCTGTTTCATGATTGTCACTTTGCTGGTCTGTTTCCTTGTTCTCACTTTGCTGGTCTGTTTCCTTGTTGTCACTTTGCTAGACTGTTTTACACTTGTTTCTTTCTTTGCTGGTCTGTTTCGCAGTTGTCACTTTGCTGGTCTGTTTTACACTTGTTTCTTTCTTTGCTGGTCTGTTTCCTGGTTGTCACTTTGCTAGACTGTTTTACACTTGCTTCTTTCTTTGCTTGTCTGTTTTGCAGTTGTCACTTTGCTGGTCTGTTTTACACTTGTTTCTTTCTTTGCTGGTCTGTTTCGCAGTTGTCACTTTGCTGGTCTGTTTCGCAGTTGTCACTTTGCTGGTCTGTTTTCTGGTTGTCACTTTGCTGGTCTGTTTCACACTTGCTTCTTTCTTTGCTGGTCTGTTTCGCAGTTGTCACTTTGCTGGTCTTTTTCACACTTGTCACTTTGCTGGTCTGTTTCACACTTGTTACTTTGCCGGTCTGTGTCGAAGTTGTTACTTTGCTGGTCTGTGTTTGCAGTTGTCACTTTGCTGGTCTGTTTCGCACTTGTTACTTTGCTGTCTGTGTCGCAGTTGTTACTTTGCTGGTCTGTTTCGCAGTTGTTACTTTGCTGGTCTGTTTCGCAGTTGTTACTTTGCTGGTCTGTTTCGCAGTTGTTACTTTGCTGGTCTGTTTCGCAGTTGTTACTTTGCTGGTCTGTTTCGCAGTTGTTTACTTTGCTGGTCTGTTTCGCAGTTGTTACTTTGCTGGTCTGTTTCGCAGTTGTTACTTTGCTGGTCTGTTTCGCAGTTGTTACTTTGCTGGTCTGTTTCGCAGTTGTTACTTTGCTGGTCTGTTTCGCAGTTGTTACTTTGCTGGTCTGTTTCGCAGTTGTTACTTTGCTGGTCTGTTTCGCAGTTGTTACTTTGCTGGTCTGTGTCGCAGTTGTTACTTTGCTGGTCTGTTTTGCAGTTGTTACTTTGCTGGTCTGTTTCGCAGTTGTTACTTATGCTCGTTTGTTTCCCGGTTGTTGCATTCCCCAAATCCAGCCGGTGAAAACCTCCTCCCTGTCTTACGTTACCATTTTGAAGCAAAATATTAACTATTTTCACATCCCAGGTCGTCTTTAATTTTCCCGCCATATCAATACACACACTCACACCGCACCATAAATGGTACGCCGGCCTGTTTAGAAAGTACTCGGTTGAAAATTTGGCTTTAGTAGTTTATAAATGTTTGATGGGGAGTCCCCGTGGCAGAGCGGCTAGACGCTCATAGCAGATCGGAGGGTCATGGGTTCGCTCCCTGGCGGAGGCGGACTTTTTTCAAAAATGATTTTGGCTCCCAGGTCGACCCAGCCTTGAGTGGGTACCGGGTGCAGTCCCGGGAAGTAGAGGCGGCCGGCATGATGCTGATCCACATTACCCATCTTGAGCCGACTGGTCTATAAAAATATAGGTCTAGGCCTATATGCCCTATACGCCTAAAGGCCTGGAAAATAGTCCTTTATTTTTTACCTTTATATGTTTGGTGTCGAGCAGTGGCTTCTCGAACAATCTTGGGGATGGAACCGAACAGTCCCGGGAACGGAACCGTACACGACATTTATGCGTGGTCAGACAGTTTGTTGGTCGCGGAAAAGTCATTAACCTGCCAACTTGTGACACGGAGGGTTCCGTGTTAATGCCTCTCAGTCTGTATATAAACATGGCGGCAAATGTGTACGGCTCGCCTTTCCCCCCACAGACGCCAGGCTGGTGCCCAAATTATAACTTACTTGATTTAATTGCTCGCGTTTGCTCAGGATAGTGATAGAAAGTCTTGTTCTCCCGTCCTCTGCCTCATCTTGGTCTTAACTCCACAACTGCCCGCATATTTAATATTCCGGCTTCTGCTTCGTCTTTGTCATCATCGCTGCCGTATCTTTAGTCATT